CAAACACCCCAATATAAAAATGGGCAAAGGGCTTAAACAGACATTTTCTCCAAAAACAACATACACATGGCCAAAAGGCACACAAAGTGATCATCCACGTCAGTAGACACAGGGAAATACAAATCAAAACCATAGTAAAATATCATCTCACACCCATAGGATGGCTGCTCTTAAGAAAATAGGAAAGGACGAGTGCCAACGAGGGTGAGGGGGAATCAGAACCTTTACGCACCTTGGGTGGGGATGTGAATGGTGCAAGTCCCAGTGGAAAACAGGGGGGCGGGCCCTCAAAAATTAAAAACTAGAATTACCATGTGATCCAGCAACTCCATGTCTGGGTATACGTATAAACTCAAAAGAATTGAACAGATATTTATACACCCATGGTTATAGCTGCATTATTCACGACAGCCAAAAGATGGAAGCAGCCCGGAGTACTCATTGGCAGAATGAGTGGAAAAACAAACTTTGATACGTACGCATGCTGGAACATTATTCAGACTTAAAATGGAAGAAAATTCTGACAGGTGCTACAGCAGAGATGAACCCTGAGGGTTATGCTTAGAAAATTAAGCCAGTCATCAAAGGACAAATACTCTATGATTCCATTTATAAGTGGCACCTAGACTGGTCCGTCAGTCCAGAGCGATGGAAAGGAGAAGGGTGGTTGCCAGGAGCTGGGGGAGTGGGGATGGGGCAGTTACTGTTTAACGGGTGTGGAGTTTGAGTTTTGCAAGATAAAAAGAGTTCTAGAGATAGGTGACGGTGATGGCTGTACAACAAAGTGAATTGTACACTTAAAAATGGCTAAGATTGTCAATTTTATTTTAACCCCAATAAACACTTGTTAATCAAAATAAAATAAAACTCTTAATTTCCCTCCACCCCCCCACCCCACCCAATTTCCTCATCCCAAACGTTGGCAACCAAGTTGCTTAGACCAAAAACCCAGGAGTCGTCCTTCATTTCTTGCCCTCGTGCCCTTATCCAACAGCAAGTTGCATTATCCTTTGGTTCCAAATTATGTTCCGCATTCATCCATTTCTCTCTCCCGCAGATGCTGCTCTGCAGCAGGCCATCCCAGCTCTTGCCTAGCACACTGTAGTAGCTGCTAACTAGTCAACCTAGTTGCATTCTTGTCTTCCACAGTCACTCCACCACAGAGCAGCCAGTATGCTCTTTTTAGAACAGAAATCACACCTTGTCCTTTCTCTGCTGAAAAATGCTCTGATGGTTTCTCATTGTACCTAGAATTCCAACTCCTTGCCACCATCTACAAGGCACAAGGCGATCTGGTGTCCATATAAACAGGCCTCCTGCCAGTGTCTTTGGCCTTAGGTCCCATCACTGCACACTGGGATCCCTGGGTTGCAGTCACATTGGTCTCCTTCCTGCTGCCTGAGCAGCCAGGTGCGCCCCTACCTCGCACCCTTTCACTGGCTGCTCCCCTGCTTGGTACCCTCCTTCCCAGATCTTCACCTGGTGGGTTCCCTCTCATTCTTTGCATCGCAGCTTAGATAGCGCCTTCTCAGAAAAATACGCACCATTCAGTCTAAAGCTAGCCACCACCGACAGTTATTCAAGATATGTCCTCCTCCTTTATCTCTTCTTGGCACTTACCACTGGTGAAAGTCAAACTTACTTTCACAAGTTTATTGTCAGCTTCACCATCCCTCAACTGAAGTGGGAGCTCCATGAGAACAGACACCCAGTTTCTTTTTCCTTTCCCCGATTCCCGGAACTCAGAACAGTGCTGGGCACATAACAGCCCAGCCAAAGGTTTGCAGAATGAATGAAGACATAAGTAACACTAATGACCCAACTTGCCTTTTCTGTCACATATATGTATATAAAAGCCTTTTGGGAAAGTTGTATTTCTACTGTACGCTGTCACCAAAGTCTTTTCCATCTGTTCTGCAATGTGATAACCAGCCTCATCCCTTGCCACCACTTGAGCACTTAGAAGAGCTGCTTACATGGCAGCTGCTTTTCCCAGAAAAGGAGGAGGGAGGAGGGGGAGGGGAGGAGGAAGGAACATTCAAGATGGAAATCTTTTAAAATACAATTTTTAAAAATCTTGTAAAATGTAATCACTGAAGTGATGAAACATCTGCCATGTGCCATTGGTCACATAGATCAATCCTGGTACAAAGTGGGAGGGACCTACACAGGATATGAATACTGGAAAGCAGGGATCACTGGGTACTGATGTGGAGACCACCTAGCATTTTAATCCACTTACTCTAGGGTTTGAACCCTGATTCTGCTATCTGCCATATAAACCCATTTTATTTTCTTGTATTTATAAAATAGAAATATCCTAATTCAGAATCTTGAGTGATAAAGGGCCTTAGGTAACTGATCCTCTCAGATTATGAGTTCAATCTCTCTTTTAAAAGATGCAATTTAAACAATCATCACATACAGATAGCAATCACTGCCTCACCTACAACTAGAAGGCTCTGCCCCAGGTTGCTTTTTCACTTTGTGCACTTGTTCAACCCACAGGACAAATGGTTTGTTTGCTTAAGATCTGCAACTTCTTTGGTTGCCTACTGGATTGTTTTCAAATCGTTTCAGGAGTGTTTTCTGGTGCCTGTGACTAATATTTCTTAAAATAAGACTTTTTCACCTTATGTGGACTGGACACAGGTCAGCATTCTTCTCCTAGGAGCTTTCATTTATTTTGACATCTTCAAACAATTTTGAGAATTGATACAAGAAACAAGTTTGTTTTCCAGATCTTGGCTCTCCTTTTCAGTAAATTCCAGAAAAGGACTGTTATTGAGATAAGATGTTAGAAAGAATGAAGTACACTTCTGAAGGCATAGCCAGCCCTGTTCAGAAGGCAGGGATATTGAACAGTAAGTGTAAACAAAATGACTAATACCCGTGATAACATTTTTATCCTAATTTAAAAAATATATAATATGCTTTATGGAAATGTTTGTATTTCCTTTTGTAAAACATGTTGGCAAGGTTATCTTCCCCTTCTCTATTTTTTATATTCAATTTAGAATATAATTTCTGTGAAGTAGTGTTTACCCTACAGATTACATTTTAAAATGTACATTAAAAGTCACTTAAAAATAGTTCTTTTTAACTTGTTCTTTATGCTTCAGAAGATTGGAGACTGACGAGAATTAGTCTTGGGGTGGATTAATGATTGTACATTGAGCATTGAGTCCCCTATACAGAACTTTATTGTTGTTAACAACCATTTGATCAATAAATATGAGAGATGACCTCTCAAAAAAAATAATAAATAAATAAATAAATAAATAAAGGACCCAATATAAAAGTCTGTCATAAAAAAAAAAGTTCTTTTTCTGTCACTGTCAACTGAAACAATGACTGTTATATTTAAGGAAGATAGAGTTTATTCATAGTCTTACTGAGGACCATGGCCTGAGGGCAGGCCATTAGTGTGTTCTGACAACTGTTCTAAAGCCCCTTTATTTGGAGACATATTAAATACTTTCTCTACAGCAAGGGATACGTGTAGAAAGGTTACATGTATCCTAGTTATTTTTCTAAAAAATCATGCTGTAGACAATCTGATGCTATCTATGTGCATGAGGAGAGGCAAGGATAAGAGTCTCATTAAGTAGATGACCATATCTTCCTCTGGGGATGGAGAGGGCATATGTGAGATTATCTTATCGATGATGTCCAGAAGATTCCTGACTGACTATATTTCTGGGAGGGGTTGAAACGACAATTAGCTTAGGCATTAAGCCCCCTGGTTTGGTGACTTAGCCTAGCAGAAATGAAACCATGTTGGGCCCGTGTCTTCTTTTTTAACACAACTCCGTCACTGTCATATAAAGAAATATGCTGCAATGTTCAATGTAGCAGCCCTAATTCTTGAAGACCTTAGAACACTGCTATCCAATAAGATAACCACTAGCAACATGTGGCTACTGAGGACTTAAGATATGACTAATCCAAACTGAAATGTGCTATAAAATACACACTAGATTCTTGAAGTGTACTATAAAAATAAAAAGAATATAAGATCAATGATTTTTTAATATAAAATTTAATCTCAGTAATTTCTATATTGATTCCATGATGAAATTATAATGTTCTGGACATATTGGATTAAATATATTAAAATTAATTTCACCCATTTAAAAACTTTTTTAACATATAGGACTGCCAGATAAAATACAGGGTGCCCGGTTACATTTGAATTTCCTATGTCCCTGCATATACTTTAATACTGTAAAATTATTGTTTAACTGAAATTCAAATTTTAACTGCTGATCCTATATTTTTATTGGCTAAATCTTGTAACTTTATTATCATGTACTAGAAAATTTTTAATTACAAATGTATTCTGTTGAACAGTGAAGCTTATCAACCTAGTTGGTATATATGCATATATACTTAGGTATTTTTAATCAATCATCTCTTCACTCCGTGAAGAAATAACTAAACTGAGGATACGTTTAATTCTCAATTGGGATCATAACTAATCCTTAAGGTAAGTTTTTACAACTGTCACCAAGTTGAAGGACGACAAAAGGGCTTGTTACAAACCAAGCACCGAGAGGGCGACTGAATTAAAAGCCACTGCTCGCAGCCGCTCCTTCGGGGTGGTCAGCAGTTCCGGTTTCGGAATACTCTGTCCCTGCAGGGCGGCTGGGCAGCGCAGAGGGCCCTGGTTTGCGGCGAGACTCCCGCAGGCCGCGGCGAGGAGCCGAGGGGCGGCACTTGCAGCCCCGGAGTCCCGCCGCCCGCTCCCCACCCGCGCCTCCCCGGCTCCGCACGGCGGCCGCGAGCTGGGCCTCCGACTGCGACCGGGGGTTCCGCTGCCTTCCCAGGCCGAGCCAGGGCTCCAGCAGTCACCTGGGGGCGGGCCAACCCGAGGCCGGCCCCACCCTCCCCGCCCGCGGGCGCGTCTAGCAGCAGCCCCCGGGGCGCGCGGCGGTCGGGCCCGCCTCCGCCGCCGTCGCGCGCAGCCCCAACTCCGCCCTCATCCGCGCCGCACTGCGGGCGGTCGGGCGGGACCCGCCGGGCGGCTCCGGCCCCAAGCCTGCCCCGCCTCGCGCCCCGTGAAAGGAGGGCCGCCGCGGCGGCGGGAGCTCACGGGCCTGCGCAGTCGACGGGCCGACCCCCGGCGCGGCCCTCGCTGGCCGCGCTGTGGGGACCCGCCGCGCACGCGCGCACGCCCGCCGCGCCCCGCCCCCGCGCGCCGCCGCGTCCTTCGACCCCGGGCCGCCTGCTGCGGGCAGCTGAGGGCGGCATGCGGGACTACGACGAGGTGACCGCTTTCCTGGGTAAGTGGGGGCCCTTCCAGCGCCTCATCTTCTTCCTGCTTAGCGCTAGCATCATCCCCAATGGCTTCAACGGGATGTCAGTCGTGTTCCTGGCGGCGACCCCGGAGCACCGCTGCCGGGTGCCGGACACCGCGAACCTGAGCAGCGCGTGGCGCAACCACACTATCCCGCTGCGGCTGCAGGACGGCCGCGAGGTGACTCACAGCTGCCGCCGCTACCGGCTCGTGGCGGTCGCCAACTTCTCAGCGCTCGGGCTGGAGCCGGGACGCGACGTGGACCTGGAGCAGCTGGAGCAGGAGAGCTGCCTGGATGGCTGGGAGTTCAGCCAGGATGTCTACCAGACCACCATCGTGACCGAGGTGGGCACCAGCCCCGCGCCGGGGCGGGGGACCGAGACATAGGGAGTCTGAGCCCCTGCACTGCAACTCCCCACACGGCGCACGCTGGATGCTGCCTCCCTCTCCCCCATCACACTACACGCTGGTGATGGGCATCCTCCAACCAAGTGTCTTGGGAACACTTTGCAAAGTGACTTCCAGCCAGAGCATGGCCCTCACAGCACGATGTCAGGACGGCCACTTGTCCTGGTGGCCACCCTGGGGAGGGAGCCAAGAAAGCTCTGGCTGCCCCTGGTAGATACTCTGTGACCCTGAGTGGTCAAAGACTTCCTCTAGATGGGGGTGGGAGAGTTGGGGCACAGAACCAGAGCTCGGGCCAAGGGGCTGCCACCCTTTTTCCTCCAGCCTCTTGGCATCTGCCCAGAGAGAGGAAATACTCCTTTCTTGAACTTCTAAAGTTAAAGGAAGCATGAATAACAAGAATGTCTCTTGCTCCTTTCTCAAGGTACTCCTTCCCCTCCCACACTCACCCCAAAATGACAGTCTGGTCATGCCCTGTAAGGAATTGTTGACCTTTTCCTCAGGGTTAGTTACCAGGATCCATGCACCTGAAGATCTGACTTCACTGCGTTCCTCTTCAGTAAGTAACCAGAAGCAGAACTTACAGGGCCTCCTGAATCATGGTATATGGCTTCCCCAAGGCAGTCTTTGCCTATAACCCCAGGGACAGCTTCTGCTTTCACAACTCTCACTGGCATCCAGGAGGGTGACAGACATACTCGCTTGTGAGGCTAGGACTGGATTTGCGATGACTGTAAGTTTTGATTCCCCGTGGCCCTTTGGGCCACAAAGCAGTCATCTACCTCCAGCGCCTCTCTTGTGAAGTACCACCACCTCAGGGCACTGGAATGATGTCACAGACCTAGAGATCCCACTGGGGCTCCAATCACACTCCTACTACATACATGTGGGAGTAAGGAGCACAGGTGCTCAGAACATCAGATGTCCAAATGTACAGAGAACACAGACACACACACAGCTCTCAGGGCAGTGAGACTTCCCTGGAGGGTGACAACCCCAGAAGCATACACACAGGGCCTCTAGAACCCATGTAAACCCCTTTGAGACTCCAGTAGGGTTTGATGCTGTACTGAACCTCTGCACCCTCCCTTTTAATCCCCTCCCTGTGAACTCTGCCCTCCTGCTAGTCTGTTTCTTGCTGTTCCAGACTTTGCATCTGCTGAGCTGAATGCCCTAGACTCACTGAGAGGCCTCCTCCTCTGGGAATCCTTCCCTAATCTGTAAATCCTTGATCTTGACACTTGGTGAACCTGGGTACCCAAGTGCCTATTAAGCAGGACCCTTTTTGTGGCCTTGCTTGTTGAGTTCTGCTGAGACTCCAGGGAGTTAGAGTTCCAGTGTCTGAGTAAGATGTAAAACACAACCACATTCATTAACACCATGTCACACATCCAGCTTTAATAGTGACTGCTGGGTCAGCAAAGGGGGACAGAGCCACCCAAAAGGAAAATCCAAGGGGCTGGGGAATGAGAAAAATTTCCCTCTACTGCCAGTGAATGAAGGTTGTGTGCTTTCACTCAATCGGCAATGATGTTGCATTAGAAAACCCTAAAACATTACAGGTCAACATCACCCTGAATAGATCTTCAGGTGCATGTTCTTCAGGAGTATCTTGAGAAAGGAGTAAGATAATTTTTATATTCATGCTTCCTTTAACTTCAGAAGTTCAAGAAAGAAGTATTTCCTCTCTCTGGGCAGATGCCAAGAGGCTGGAGGAAAAAGGGTGGCAGCCCCTTGGCCTGAGCTCTGGCTCTGCTCCCCAACTCTCCTGCCCCCATCTAGAAGAAGTCTTTGACCACTCAGGGTATCTACCAGGGGCAGCCAGAGCTTTCTTAGCTCCCTCCCCAGGGTGGCCACCAGGACAGGTGGCCGGCCTGACATCGTGCTGTGAGGGCCATGCTCTGGCTGGAAGTCACTTTGCAAAGTGTTCCCGAGACACTTGGCTGGAGGATGCCCATCACCAGTGTGTAGCGCGTTGGGGGACACACTACATGGCATCTCTTTGCTTTTACCTGGTGCCCAGGGTCCCTCGGTTCCCTCTAGTCTTCTGCTCCTGCTTTCCTTCCCCCACCCTGCCTTCTGCTGAGAGTGGTGGTGGCGCTGATGGTCCCAAAGGTCGGCTGTGCTGGAAGGGTCCTCGAGCTCTGTTGCCACCTGAGTCAGGCTTCCCTTTGTTATACTTAGTCTATTTATTTAGCTGTCTTAGTTTCAAAAGAGTTCCTTGCCCTTTCATCTACTTACAGGTTGTCAATCTTCACAGGGAGGCAAGATTAATATATTACTTAGCCCTTTGTTATGAGATGCAGGAATGCCTGACTTTAAAGTCAAGGCTACTTGTTCCTCACAGGTGAACACTCGCTGTTGGAAGCTATTGCATTAATACTCTGATGGCTCTGTTTTTCTAAGGCCCATTTTCTTTCCACCCCAGACCTGGTGTACTGACTACCACAGCTAGTCCCACATCTGCTAAATCTCTCCAAGCCTGCCCTCTGCCCTAGATCATATGTAGAGGTGTCTGTAAGCACACTGGTATTGAATTCCTATCCACGTTGTTCAACAAAAGATGAAAATCTCCTGTTTCCTGTTTGATTTATTTTTCTTTGTTGAAGTTAATGTTTTTCTTTGTGGTGGGTTCCCATCTTGGCATCTCCCGCAAGTCCTGACATGATGCCAGATACAGAAGGTATACTCAGGGAAATTTTTGTTGAATGGATTAATGAAAAATATAAGAAATATTCTCCAGTGTTTCAGAAATGAAGATGAAGAGGACAGTTTAATTCCTAGAAGGGAAATTGGGGGTGGTCAGAAAGCATTTACTGAAATATTTTAAAGTATAATCCCTCATCCCACAAGCTAAGGCTTTCTCCTGTGGGGATCTGCAGTCAGGCATTGGGATTGGCAAGAAGAAGATGACACTCTTTATGAAGTCAAAGAGGTGGCTCTCCCATGTTGCAGGAATAGCTCGTGGTCCGCGTGCCTCTAAGCTGGTCCTTCTCTGGCCCCTCATCATCCTCAGGGTGCTGAGCAATCAGCCACTCCACCTTGCAGAGCTGCTCCAAACTCCAAATGCTCCCTGGCTCCCAGGACTACCCCCTCCTCTGGGAACCTGGGTGATTTCTCAGGCTGCCTGGCTTCCTGCTTTTTGATGCCTCTATAGCCCAGCCTACAGCCAGAAAGCCTCCTTTAGAAACATCTGGCTCTTCTGGCACCCATGAGTTGGGGTCTCTTCAGCTGAGACCTGGCAGTCCTCTGCATCCCCTTGCTCCCTGCCTGTCTTTGTTTCCCAGAAGCCCCCTATCTCAGCCCTTGGGAGCACTCTGACTTACTTCTTCTTGTTCTGAAAAGTCTCTTTCTCTGGACTAGCTTTTCTCTCAACCTTATCTCATGCCTAGATAGTCTTGGAAGATAGGAGAGCCCCACTGCCATACGCCCTGCCTGAAGGAAAAGCTACATCAGGCCCTCGTCTCGGTGGAGCCCTAGAGACCTGGAGCCCGTTCCTCACTGTTGTGCCTTTGCTGACCTCTCTCTCATGGAAGCGCAGCCCCTCCTCCCTGCCTTTGCAGCTCATGGCAAGCCAGAGAAGCCACTTGCTGGGTCCCCAGAGCCCCCTGTGCGCACGCGGTCAGAACAGACCATCTGGCTGGGAGTAGTCAGATGGAGCCCCCTTCCTGGCTAGCTGAGAACCCGCACCCTGGGTCCAAGGGCTGGCAGTTGACACAGGGAAGGTGGCAAAGGAGCAAAAAAGAGAAACTATTCTAGAGATTGAAATTCTGGCTTCCTCTGGGCTTTGGGCAGCCAAGCCCAATGGATACAAATGTGTTGAAGGCTAACAGCCCTTATATTCATCTGTTCACTCACTCATCTATGCACCAAACAGGTTCTGAGCCTCTCCTCTGCAGGGTGCTGCCAGACAGAGGAGAGGATATGGCAGCAAATACTTCTTCTCCTTGCCCTGACAGCCTTGGGGGAAGGGTCTGCCATGAGGTGCAGCAGGTGGCAGGACAAGATGTGTGTGGGAATACATAGCATTCAGTAACAGGCGTGTGTGTGTGTGTGTGTGTGTGTGTGTGTGTGTGTGTGTGTNAGGCATTAAGCCCCCTGGTTTGGTGACTTAGCCTAGCAGAAATGAAACCATGTTGGGCCCGTGTCTTCTTTTTTAACACAACTCCGTCACTGTCATATAAAGAAATATGCTGCAATGTTCAATGTAGCAGCCCTAATTCTTGAAGACCTTAGAACACTGCTATCCAATAAGATAACCACTAGCAACATGTGGCTACTGAGGACTTAAGATATGACTAATCCAAACTGAAATGTGCTATAAAATACACACTAGATTCTTGAAGTGTACTATAAAAATAAAAAGAATATAAGATCAATGATTTTTTAATATAAAATTTAATCTCAGTAATTTCTATATTGATTCCATGATGAAATTATAATGTTCTGGACATATTGGATTAAATATATTAAAATTAATTTCACCCATTTAAAAACTTTTTTAACATATAGGACTGCCAGATAAAATACAGGGTGCCCGGTTACATTTGAATTTCCTATGTCCCTGCATATACTTTAATACTGTAAAATTATTGTTTAACTGAAATTCAAATTTTAACTGCTGATCCTATATTTTTATTGGCTAAATCTTGTAACTTTATTATCATGTACTAGAAAATTTTTAATTACAAATGTATTCTGTTGAACAGTGAAGCTTATCAACCTAGTTGGTATATATGCATATATACTTAGGTATTTTTAATCAATCATCTCTTCACTCCGTGAAGAAATAACTAAACTGAGGATACGTTTAATTCTCAATTGGGATCATAACTAATCCTTAAGGTAAGTTTTTACAACTGTCACCAAGTTGAAGGACGACAAAAGGGCTTGTTACAAACCAAGCACCGAGAGGGCGACTGAATTAAAAGCCACTGCTCGCAGCCGCTCCTTCGGGGTGGTCAGCAGTTCCGGTTTCGGAATACTCTGTCCCTGCAGGGCGGCTGGGCAGCGCAGAGGGCCCTGGTTTGCGGCGAGACTCCCGCAGGCCGCGGCGAGGAGCCGAGGGGCGGCACTTGCAGCCCCGGAGTCCCGCCGCCCGCTCCCCACCCGCGCCTCCCCGGCTCCGCACGGCGGCCGCGAGCTGGGCCTCCGACTGCGACCGGGGGTTCCGCTGCCTTCCCAGGCCGAGCCAGGGCTCCAGCAGTCACCTGGGGGCGGGCCAACCCGAGGCCGGCCCCACCCTCCCCGCCCGCGGGCGCGTCTAGCAGCAGCCCCCGGGGCGCGCGGCGGTCGGGCCCGCCTCCGCCGCCGTCGCGCGCAGCCCCAACTCCGCCCTCATCCGCGCCGCACTGCGGGCGGTCGGGCGGGACCCGCCGGGCGGCTCCGGCCCCAAGCCTGCCCCGCCTCGCGCCCCGTGAAAGGAGGGCCGCCGCGGCGGCGGGAGCTCACGGGCCTGCGCAGTCGACGGGCCGACCCCCGGCGCGGCCCTCGCTGGCCGCGCTGTGGGGACCCGCCGCGCACGCGCGCACGCCCGCCGCGCCCCGCCCCCGCGCGCCGCCGCGTCCTTCGACCCCGGGCCGCCTGCTGCGGGCAGCTGAGGGCGGCATGCGGGACTACGACGAGGTGACCGCTTTCCTGGGTAAGTGGGGGCCCTTCCAGCGCCTCATCTTCTTCCTGCTTAGCGCTAGCATCATCCCCAATGGCTTCAACGGGATGTCAGTCGTGTTCCTGGCGGCGACCCCGGAGCACCGCTGCCGGGTGCCGGACACCGCGAACCTGAGCAGCGCGTGGCGCAACCACACTATCCCGCTGCGGCTGCAGGACGGCCGCGAGGTGACTCACAGCTGCCGCCGCTACCGGCTCGTGGCGGTCGCCAACTTCTCAGCGCTCGGGCTGGAGCCGGGACGCGACGTGGACCTGGAGCAGCTGGAGCAGGAGAGCTGCCTGGATGGCTGGGAGTTCAGCCAGGATGTCTACCAGACCACCATCGTGACCGAGGTGGGCACCAGCCCCGCGCCGGGGCGGGGGACCGAGACATAGGGAGTCTGAGCCCCTGCACTGCAACTCCCCACACGGCGCACGCTGGATGCTGCCTCCCTCTCCCCCATCACACTACACGCTGGTGATGGGCATCCTCCAACCAAGTGTCTTGGGAACACTTTGCAAAGTGACTTCCAGCCAGAGCATGGCCCTCACAGCACGATGTCAGGACGGCCACTTGTCCTGGTGGCCACCCTGGGGAGGGAGCCAAGAAAGCTCTGGCTGCCCCTGGTAGATACTCTGTGACCCTGAGTGGTCAAAGACTTCCTCTAGATGGGGGTGGGAGAGTTGGGGCACAGAACCAGAGCTCGGGCCAAGGGGCTGCCACCCTTTTTCCTCCAGCCTCTTGGCATCTGCCCAGAGAGAGGAAATACTCCTTTCTTGAACTTCTAAAGTTAAAGGAAGCATGAATAACAAGAATGTCTCTTGCTCCTTTCTCAAGGTACTCCTTCCCCTCCCACACTCACCCCAAAATGACAGTCTGGTCATGCCCTGTAAGGAATTGTTGACCTTTTCCTCAGGGTTAGTTACCAGGATCCATGCACCTGAAGATCTGACTTCACTGCGTTCCTCTTCAGTAAGTAACCAGAAGCAGAACTTACAGGGCCTCCTGAATCATGGTATATGGCTTCCCCAAGGCAGTCTTTGCCTATAACCCCAGGGACAGCTTCTGCTTTCACAACTCTCACTGGCATCCAGGAGGGTGACAGACATACTCGCTTGTGAGGCTAGGACTGGATTTGCGATGACTGTAAGTTTTGATTCCCCGTGGCCCTTTGGGCCACAAAGCAGTCATCTACCTCCAGCGCCTCTCTTGTGAAGTACCACCACCTCAGGGCACTGGAATGATGTCACAGACCTAGAGATCCCACTGGGGCTCCAATCACACTCCTACTACATACATGTGGGAGTAAGGAGCACAGGTGCTCAGAACATCAGATGTCCAAATGTACAGAGAACACAGACACACACACAGCTCTCAGGGCAGTGAGACTTCCCTGGAGGGTGACAACCCCAGAAGCATACACACAGGGCCTCTAGAACCCATGTAAACCCCTTTGAGACTCCAGTAGGGTTTGATGCTGTACTGAACCTCTGCACCCTCCCTTTTAATCCCCTCCCTGTGAACTCTGCCCTCCTGCTAGTCTGTTTCTTGCTGTTCCAGACTTTGCATCTGCTGAGCTGAATGCCCTAGACTCACTGAGAGGCCTCCTCCTCTGGGAATCCTTCCCTAATCTGTAAATCCTTGATCTTGACACTTGGTGAACCTGGGTACCCAAGTGCCTATTAAGCAGGACCCTTTTTGTGGCCTTGCTTGTTGAGTTCTGCTGAGACTCCAGGGAGTTAGAGTTCCAGTGTCTGAGTAAGATGTAAAACACAACCACATTCATTAACACCATGTCACACATCCAGCTTTAATAGTGACTGCTGGGTCAGCAAAGGGGGACAGAGCCACCCAAAAGGAAAATCCAAGGGGCTGGGGAATGAGAAAAATTTCCCTCTACTGCCAGTGAATGAAGGTTGTGTGCTTTCACTCAATCGGCAATGATGTTGCATTAGAAAACCCTAAAACATTACAGGTCAACATCACCCTGAATAGATCTTCAGGTGCATGTTCTTCAGGAGTATCTTGAGAAAGGAGTAAGATAATTTTTATATTCATGCTTCCTTTAACTTCAGAAGTTCAAGAAAGAAGTATTTCCTCTCTCTGGGCAGATGCCAAGAGGCTGGAGGAAAAAGGGTGGCAGCCCCTTGGCCTGAGCTCTGGCTCTGCTCCCCAACTCTCCTGCCCCCATCTAGAAGAAGTCTTTGACCACTCAGGGTATCTACCAGGGGCAGCCAGAGCTTTCTTAGCTCCCTCCCCAGGGTGGCCACCAGGACAGGTGGCCGGCCTGACATCGTGCTGTGAGGGCCATGCTCTGGCTGGAAGTCACTTTGCAAAGTGTTCCCGAGACACTTGGCTGGAGGATGCCCATCACCAGTGTGTAGCGCGTTGGGGGACACACTACATGGCATCTCTTTGCTTTTACCTGGTGCCCAGGGTCCCTCGGTTCCCTCTAGTCTTCTGCTCCTGCTTTCCTTCCCCCACCCTGCCTTCTGCTGAGAGTGGTGGTGGCGCTGATGGTCCCAAAGGTCGGCTGTGCTGGAAGGGTCCTCGAGCTCTGTTGCCACCTGAGTCAGGCTTCCCTTTGTTATACTTAGTCTATTTATTTAGCTGTCTTAGTTTCAAAAGAGTTCCTTGCCCTTTCATCTACTTACAGGTTGTCAATCTTCACAGGGAGGCAAGATTAATATATTACTTAGCCCTTTGTTATGAGATGCAGGAATGCCTGACTTTAAAGTCAAGGCTACTTGTTCCTCACAGGTGAACACTCGCTGTTGGAAGCTATTGCATTAATACTCTGATGGCTCTGTTTTTCTAAGGCCCATTTTCTTTCCACCCCAGACCTGGTGTACTGACTACCACAGCTAGTCCCACATCTGCTAAATCTCTCCAAGCCTGCCCTCTGCCCTAGATCATATGTAGAGGTGTCTGTAAGCACACTGGTATTGAATTCCTATCCACGTTGTTCAACAAAAGATGAAAATCTCCTGTTTCCTGTTTGATTTATTTTTCTTTGTTGAAGTTAATGTTTTTCTTTGTGGTGGGTTCCCATCTTGGCATCTCCCGCAAGTCCTGACATGATGCCAGATACAGAAGGTATACTCAGGGAAATTTTTGTTGAATGGATTAATGAAAAATATAAGAAATATTCTCCAGTGTTTCAGAAATGAAGATGAAGAGGACAGTTTAATTCCTAGAAGGGAAATTGGGGGTGGTCAGAAAGCATTTACTGAAATATTTTAAAGTATAATCCCTCATCCCACAAGCTAAGGCTTTCTCCTGTGGGGATCTGCAGTCAGGCATTGGGATTGGCAAGAAGAAGATGACACTCTTTATGAAGTCAAAGAGGTGGCTCTCCCATGTTGCAGGAATAGCTCGTGGTCCGCGTGCCTCTAAGCTGGTCCTTCTCTGGCCCCTCATCATCCTCAGGGTGCTGAGCAATCAGCCACTCCACCTTGCAGAGCTGCTCCAAACTCCAAATGCTCCCTGGCTCCCAGGACTACCCCCTCCTCTGGGAACCTGGGTGATTTCTCAGGCTGCCTGGCTTCCTGCTTTTTGATGCCTCTATAGCCCAGCCTACAGCCAGAAAGCCTCCTTTAGAAACATCTGGCTCTTCTGGCACCCATGAGTTGGGGTCTCTTCAGCTGAGACCTGGCAGTCCTCTGCATCCCCTTGCTCCCTGCCTGTCTTTGTTTCCCAGAAGCCCCCTATCTCAGCCCTTGGGAGCACTCTGACTTACTTCTTCTTGTTCTGAAAAGTCTCTTTCTCTGGACTAGCTTTTCTCTCAACCTTATCTCATGCCTAGATAGTCTTGGAAGATAGGAGAGCCCCACTGCCATACGCCCTGCCTGAAGGAAAAGCTACATCAGGCCCTCGTCTCGGTGGAGCCCTAGAGACCTGGAGCCCGTTCCTCACTGTTGTGCCTTTGCTGACCTCTCTCTCATGGAAGCGCAGCCCCTCCTCCCTGCCTTTGCAGCTCATGGCAAGCCAGAGAAGCCACTTGCTGGGTCCCCAGAGCCCCCTGTGCGCACGCGGTCAGAACAGACCATCTGGCTGGGAGTAGTCAGATGGAGCCCCCTTCCTGGCTAGCTGAGAACCCGCACCCTGGGTCCAAGGGCTGGCAGTTGACACAGGGAAGGTGGCAAAGGAGCAAAAAAGAGAAACTATTCTAGAGATTGAAATTCTGGCTTCCTCTGGGCTTTGGGCAGCCAAGCCCAATGGATACAAATGTGTTGAAGGCTAACAGCCCTTATATTCATCTGTTCACTCACTCATCTATGCACCAAACAGGTTCTGAGCCTCTCCTCTGCAGGGTGCTGCCAGACAGAGGAGAGGATATGGCAGCAAATACTTCTTCTCCTTGCCCTGACAGCCTTGGGGGAAGGGTCTGCCATGAGGTGCAGCAGGTGGCAGGACAAGATGTGTGTGGGAATACATAGCATTCAGTAACAGGCGTGTGTGTGTGTGTGTGTGTGTGTGTGTGTGTGTGTGTGTGTGTATGTGCAACCACTGAGGCAGGCAGGTGGGGCCCAGCTCTGCTGGAAAGAGCTTCTGCTCTGTGTTCACAGACCTAACGGCCTCTCCCTTCCAGCCACCTTGTAGGTAAGAACGTGTAGTCCCAGGGAACCACGTCATCTCAACTTGCTGTAACTGAGAAGCAATTATGTATTATGTGCTGAGGACACAGTGTCCTCTCTTTAAAAAGCTTAACAGCTTTATAGAGGCATAAATGACATAAAATAAGCTGCCCATAACTAAAGTGTGCAGTTTGGAAAGCTATGAGATACACACACACACACACACACACACACATGCATGCATATACATGAAACAGTTACCATCAGACAGGCACATTTCTGACCACAAGATGGCTAGTCTAGGCCCCCAGATATTTTCCGGTTACACCTGCTTCCACAGCTCACCCAGCTGAGAGGTAGCAAAGTTAGACTTGTGACCTGAATCCTAAGCCCACACATTTAGTTCTGACATGGATTCCTGTTACCACCAGTATAACCCATCCCAAAGACCATGGGGGCGTCAGTGATTTGGTCTGTAGCTGCTTTAGTCCTGGCTGGGGAGCCAGGAGCTTAGTATAGGAATCCTAGATTCCCCTGTAAACACAGGCCCAGAGCCTGGGTTCCGTGGGCTTCTCTTCCCACCCCTCCTAAGGAGGATTCAGGCCCTGGAGCCCACTATAGTCCGTCTGGCGACTGACCAATAAGTGGGTGGGTCTGCTGGGTGGCACCCAGCCTGTGCCTGCTCCTGTGCTCATTTTTTGAGATCTACTACATGCCCTGACCCTACTCACTTGTTTCCTGTGGCCCGTAGGAAGAAAGTATGAACCCACGTTTGCTTTTGCAGGACACAAAGCCAGGCCCTGAGAATTGTTGAGCACTGTCGGTGGTAGAGTGTCCAGTTACTCCAGGAAGTTGTACTCTTGCCCAGAGTAAGGACTGGCTGGATCAGGCGCTGGAGATGAGGCCCTGGGAACCAGCGACATGCTACAGGGACCTGTCCCACGATGGGCACTGGAGTCACCTTGTCTCCCGCAGGGCACAGTCTGATCTGGTTTTAGGTAGTTCCTGACCTGGCCAGCCCACAATTCCCTGGAAGCCTGTGTTGGGAGGCCTGACATGGGTTAGGAAGGAGGCTACAACCCGCAAATCCCCTGTGAATTTCTAGTTTAGCTCAGCCGTATCAGCCCCCAACCCTCATAAAAGATCTGTCGAGAAATAGTTACTGACCCTTTCTTCAGTTTTTCATCTCCATTGCTACAAAAGTTAATGCATGCCAGCTCAGAAAAGATCATGTTCAAGAACAGCAATGGCCATAATCCAGCCCCTGAATCCCTGCCTGGCACTTGAGTCCAGGGGAGTCCAGCCCTGTCTCCCCAGCCGCTCCCATCCTGACCTCAGTGGCCATGTCAGGTGGGGGCTGTCTTCCCAGGAGAGAGACAGTTATCTGGGTGTTAGCACCACTAAGGCTGCAGAGGCCACAAGGCTCCCGCAGCCGAAACAGTCAGGCCTTGGTGCTCTGATATTCCTGCCTCCTGCTAGTCTGGACGTCCTCTAGATTTTAGGAGCTGGAGGCCATCAGGTCTTCCCTAGGGTGAGTCACCATCCCAGTCTCAGTTCATCCAAGGTGCATGCTTATTCCAGAGTGGAAAACCTGCTGTCTGGTTGAGTGATGCTGGTGAGCTGTGGGCAGGGGTAGTTTTTTGTGTCCACCCTGAGGGCTGCCCCCCCAACCGTCTGAGGTGCCCACAGGCTGTGTGCACACATACTGCTTAGCAGAGCAGAGACGCAGGCTTGTCTCTCCCTCTTCCACTGGCCTGGAAGAGGTGCTTTGTTCTCGGAAGCTGAGCGCTCCCCAGCCTGTGTTACTGAGGAGCCAGCAAGCTCCCTGACAGGCAGGACAGGATGACAGCCTGGCGCCAGGCAGGCAAGAGTCTGAATTCCCTGCTAGAGGGCCTTGGTTGCTACTGAGTGCTGTCTCTGGCCTGGGGACTATGCTTCCCGTTTACCTTTTCTCGCTTCTTTTGGCACCTTGCTAGGCTGGGCCGCCCTGATATCTGAGTGTCCAGCTGCCTCCCCCTGCCTGCAGACCTCTTTTCACGGTAATTGTCGATGGAACAACATAGAGGATGCTGCCTGTTCCCCATTGCAATCCTTGTTTTACAAATGGGGAAATTAAGGCACAGTGAGGGGGGATATCTCATTTGAGGTTGGAGAACTGGGTAAGAGTAGAGTGGAAGCTATAACCCAGTTGCCTGACTCCTAGCTCAGAGCTCTGGGCTGTAATGGACCTAGTGCTGTTAGCACCACCTCAGGGATTCCAGCTCTAAATGTCACCAGAAAGGCCCAGGACTCAGTGGCTCAGGGTAGGGGCCGGAGTGGAGCTAAAGGAACCGATACAGGGTGAATCCCAGGCCCTCTGGCTTTGGTCCCTTGCTGGATGCCTTGGCCTTAGAGCCCCAGAACCCCTCCTGTGCCGTGCCCGCCCCTGGCCTGCGGCCCACTGAAAGCCCATCCCCAGCCCCGGGCTCTGCTCACATACTTAGACTGACCATGAGAAGTGGCCGTGCCTTCTCCGGGGTTGGCACATGTGTTTTCTGCCTGTCTCCCCTCCTCACATTAGTAGCAAACAGTGGGGCTGAAAGGTACGAAAACAGGCCAGAAGGGAGCTCATTCTCCCTCTGAGCAGGAACCTGCTGTCTGCCTCACTGGCCGCAGGAGCCACCATCTGCCTGAATGAGCTTAGACACCCGAAGGGTGATGCAAACAGAGCACGCAGGATTCAGGAGGTTCTGATTTCATTTTCCAAGAAGCCCTAAATTGAAAACATTAAAAAAAAGAAGTGAGTGACATATTCCTTTGCTCCTCCTACAGTGGAACCTGGTGTGTGAGGACGACTGGAAGGCTCCGCTCATAGTCTCCTTGTTTTTCTGGGGTGTGCTGATGGGCTCCTTCATTTCGGGACAGCTGTCAGACAGGTAAGGTGGGTGTTTGTCCCATGCAGCTGCAGGGACCACAGCACCGAGCAAGGAGCACAGGGGCCTGGACCTCAGTTTCGGGTAGCAGTGTTCTCTCAGCCCAGGGCCCTGTGGTTTAAAAGAAGGGGAAGCTGCATCTGTGGTATAGACTCCATACCAAGTCAAGAGAGCCAGCAACTTCCTCTCTTAATTCTTGCTGAGCAAAATAACTTGAGCCAAGTGTATCCATGATCCAGCCAACGTGGGACTATGCCATGATTCACTACTGCACCAGCCTGGCTGGCCTTCCCTGGGGAGCCTTGCTCTTTCATGGCCTGAAGCGTGGAGCGGTAGACACTGCACACACACATGCTCATGACTGTGTTGTGGATCTTACAGTGTGCTGGACAGCCACCTCTCCAGTCCCGAACCGTCACTGCCTCTGCCAGATGAGAGGAGATCTCACAGCCAGAAGTGGCGTGACGGGCAGAACTCTGTGTCCATAGAGCTGATGCCCCTTTGCTAGGAGGCCTGTGGCTACACCACTTACTTTACAACAAACTGGCAGCATACATTTTGACCCATAAGTGGGTTATTTGTGCAAAATTCCAAGTCTTTTTAACTCGTGACTTAGGGAGTTCATCTTCTCTTGAAATTGCAGAATTTTAGAGATTGTACATAAGCACTTAAATGGAGTCCATAGTTTCCAGGAAGTTCTCAGAGAGGTCCATCTTACTGTATCTCCCTATCCCAAAGCTTCAGGGTCTGTCAGAGAAGCCTATGGCGAGAAGAGTGGCCTTGGGGAAGGTCGTGGCCACATTGGAGAGGTGTCCCCGTGTCCTCCCAGCTGGTTGGGTCTCTGATAGAGAAGTTCAGGATGACAATGTCATTCTACTTTAAGAACAAAACCATTTTTATCCTGTAGCACAAACTCAGGTGATGTTTTGGCATGTTTATATCTTTGGATTATTGTCTTTACTGAGGACTCTTTCCTCATCGAGAAATATGTGCACTTCTCACTAGATTTGTCTTTTCCAGAGTGCCATCTAACGATTAAAAAAAGGCACCAATTCCTACAGTCCCCAGTGGGCACTAAAGAGTTCAGTTGGCCATGACCACTGACTGGCGATTCTAGGTGAGCCTGACACACTTGCCCCTTTGGGAGAAAGGCCTTTGCTTCCTCAGGTCCTTAATCTAGCAGCAAGTATCAGCTAATCACCTGTATTTATTTAACAAACACCACGTAATTTGTGCCAGACACACTATAAACACTATACACATTTTAAAAATAAATAAATAACCCTATGAAATAGAAGTATTATTCATTTTACAGATGTGGGAAATGAAAACCAGAGGAGTTAATGACTTGTGCAGGGTCCCACAGTCACAGTGGCAGAGCTAGGATTTTGGCCCAGAGAATCTTGAGCTTCTCTTTTGTGTGGACCAGTGTTCTAGGGCCCTGCTCTTCTAGAATTTGCCATCTAGTAAGGCAGAGCTCACTGAGGGAAGCGCCTGTTACCCTTCACGGTGGTGTCACAGAGGAGAGAAGTGCAGGGTGCTAAGTACAGGAGGCCCAGTGAGGCTGCCCTGAGAAGGTGAAGCATGCCCTGGGGGTTAAAGATAAAGAGAAATTAGCCAGCTACAAAGTGGGTGGAGAGAGGAAAGAGCACCAACCGGAGAGAGCTGCATCTGCTTCAGCCTAGACTCAAGAAGAGGTGGGTGTGGCCCACTTTAGGAACTAGAGGAAGTCTGCAGTGGAGGTGTAGAGAGGGCTTGGAGACGGGCAGAGGCCTGAGCAGAAGAGCAGGCAGGGCGGGGCAGATGGCAGGAGTTTGGCCTTTAGTCACAGAGCAGGGGGAGCTAGTGAGAGTTTTTTAAAGCAGGAGTGTGACATAATCAGATTTGCATTTTTTTAAAGATTACTTGCTGACTGTGGAGAAAGGATGGAAAGGAAGCCAGAGGGGTTGAAGAGAGACCAGTTAAGAGATGATAACAGTGATTTGTGCAGGTGTTATTGGTGACTGATGGTCACTGATAGTGGCTTGGACTCAGCTAAGGGTGGTGGACACAGAGAGGAGTGGCAAGAGGTAAAACCGACAGGACCTGGCTGTGGGTTGGATGTGGGAAGTAACGGGTGGGGGGCGATTTCTGGCTTGCACAACCAGGCGTATGATGACAACCTCTAATATAAAGGACTCTGGGAGAGGACCGTGTTTGGAGGAGATGTTGTGCTCTACTTGAATACACTGAATTTGGGGTGACCAGGAGACTCCTCTGAGGGGAGGAATTGAGTGTGGAGTTGATGTCTGGGCAAGGTGCTCTGAGAGAGGGTGGGAATTGTTAGCACCTAGGACCCTCATCAAAGCTCCGAGTGTGGATGAGATAGCCGGGGTCGGGGGGAGGGCAGAGGGAGAAGGGGGCGCTCAGGACTGAGCTGAGAGGCCCTCCTGATGGGATGGTGAGGAACGCCCTCTCACGTGGTGAGTGGCAGCTAAGACTCAGGAATTTGTCTCATGTGAAAATCAAGGAGGAGATACCCCAAGTTCGGAATTGAAGCTCAGTGTATTTTGGGGTCACCTGTGTCATGGGTTAGGTAGATCTTTGTAGGGTAGCCGAAGAACCTGACTGCCACCTGACACCACGATGCCCGGAGGATAGTGTTCAAGTCCCAGTAGATCTGTTCCAAAGGAAGTAGTGGAAACAAAACTAATGGGTATGGTGAGGACCACCGTAGTCTTTAGCAGGGCTTGGACAGTGTCTTTCAAACCTTTTAAAAAAATGTTGTCAGAAGACTTCTGCTTCTAAGTAGGATCATTTGCATCCAGTAAATGAAACGGCTAAAAGTGTGGCTCCTCACTGCAGCTGCCACCTCTCTCCTCAGCACCCCGCAGACCTGTCTGCACCCCCATAGGAGGCCCAGGGCTCTATGGGATGGACACTTTCTATTCTTATTACTTCTGAATAAGCCGGTTCAAAACCCTGAGTCAACAAATTACCTAAGAGCAGTAGACTCATGCCCTCATCTCGTTACCTGGGATCAGCAGTAACTTTTCATATACGACAAAGATTTCACCTTCTTCATGGCATATGAATAAGCCTGAAATTCAAGAGCAATTAAAATAATCCTGGTTGTCAAATCATTTTATTCGACATCATTGAGTTCTCTTTATGTGCATGAATTACAAGAGAGTCACAACCCTGGGAGGAGGTAAACTGATGTTTCCTGTCTGGTAGGCCTGTACCGCTGTAATGTTTTGTTTACAGCCTTTAAAAGGGAGTGTGTCTGGCCCCAACCCCAGACTGCCAAGGACTCGTGCTCTGTAAGTGTTCCCTGGGCCTTTCTCTGCCCTGTCACCTCAGGGAGCCTGTGGGAAGGGCAAGCAGGTGCAGAGGTTAAAGCTGTCTGCCTGTCACAGGGATGGCCCCTTGGGTTGTCTGGGGCACTGTTGCCACAGGACTGTGCAGGGGAGGTGAGTCTCCTCCCAGACCCGGGCTTCTCAGCCTTGGCTCTGTTAACATTCTAAGCCAGAGAATTCTTGGTTGCAGGGGACCATCCTGGGCATTTTAGGATGTTTAGAACATCTCTGGCCTCCACCTACTAGATGCCAGTAGCATCAAGAACACAAAACCAAAACCCAGAAACCACCTGTTGCAGTGAGAGAAGCACCATACTCATCAGCATCACTTCAAGGCCTTGTGTGGTTTGGCCCCTGCCCACCTCTGCATCTTCTGCTGGCCAGCGGATACCAGCCATGGTGGCCCGCGTGGTCCTCACGCCCCCTCCAGCCACAGTTGTGTCTGAAGCACTCCCCACCCGAGCCCGTGGCCTTCCTTGGCTACGCAGGCTGAACTCAGGTCCCTGGTTTACATTACCCTGGTTCCTTGTGCCTTTCCTTCACAGCACCGTTCAGAAATTGGTCAATAAAAGGTGTTACCATATGATTAAAGTTGGTGTCCCCGCCATGTTAGAAATGTCATTGAAAGCATGGTCCCTCACCCCTGCTTCCCCTTGCTGATGATTGCGTCAGGGCCCCACCACCAGGGAGACCTTCCCTGAATGCCATGTCCCACCTGTCACGCTAGTCCAGGGTTGCTTCCTTTGTTGTGGACTTGGGAGCTGGTCCTGAAGTGCCCTGGTCTCCCTTTAGGACAACTGTGTGCCCTTGTATGTTCAGTAGGTGGTCGTTTGATTAAAATGTGATCACTGTCTGTCTCACCAGCTATAGTCTGTCAGCTCCTTGAGGGCAGAAACAGCATCTTTTTTTATTCAGATATATTCTTAGTGCCTAGTATGTAATAGATGTTCAGATAAACATTCCCTGAATGATAACAGGTGTCAGCCAGCCCTGGCTGACTCAAGCTGAATCTGCTAGGAGATTAGGGCGACTTGTTTCCCCCTGTTTATGGCACTGTCTTTAAAACCAAACAAACCAAAAGCCCCGACATTTAAAAAAAGTTTCAAATGAACACAGAAAACCACACAGAACGGATGTGTGGCTTAATGAATTACTCCAGGGGACTAACCTTGTGACTACCGCCAGGTCAAGAAATAGAACTTTGCTGGCCTCCAGAGCCCTCCTTGTGTCCCGTGTGCAACAGCCTCTCTCCCCCATAAGGAACTAGTAGCCTGACTTCCATAAAATCGCTTCCTTGTGGGGGTTTTTTTGTAGTTTTATCATCCAAACCTGCATCTTTAAACATAAGCTTAGTCTTGGCCATGTAAAAAATTCTGATGTCTTTTAGTTTACTTTACTCTAGGGATTTTCCCTCCAGCGCCCCCGACCCTGGTTTATTTTTTTTTTTGGCTTTTCATTTTATCTTTTGCAGAACTCTGGGCTGTCCCACCTGTAGAATTTCCCACTGTGGGTTTTGCTGATTGCCTCTTCATGGTACAGCTCAGCACATTCCTCTTGTCTCTGCATTTCTTGCAAATTGGTACCTGTATCTAGAGACCTGAATAGATTCAGGTTCAATCCCTTGGCAAGGCTCCGGGACTGATGCAATTGGTGTTCAGTTGTCTCTTCATCAGGAGGCTTTTAGTGGTCACCGAGACATATGCCCATGTCTTTCCATTCACCGTGGGGTGGGGGTGGGGTGTAAATGGTGTTATCTAATTTTAACACTTCTTTTTCATTTAATAGTTGGGATACTTTTATAAAATGATACTTCCCACCATCTATTAGTAGCTGCTTTTCATGCTGTTTGTGAAGAAAAGTCAGGACAAACGTTTCTTTCCCTTTATTCACCAGTTCTCATTTATAATAGATTGTTTCTCCTTCGCTTTCCAAAGTAAACTAGTTCTTTTTAAAAAAATGTATTACAAATGTATGGATTTAAGCATAATGAATGTGTTTCAATCCCTTGCGATCATTACCCTATTTCTGGCGCGTTATAATTTGGGCAGCCCTGCTGCCCAGGCTGCCGCTGGTTGTGGGAAGTGGGGAGGGGGAGTAAGAGCGCGGAGACAGGAGACCAGGTAGCCTGGCAGCACTGTCCACGGCCCCTGCCCTCTTGGTGGAGCCCATTCCTGCCACCTCCCAGCTGTTTCTGTCATTGTCCCTTCCTTCCCAGGTTTGGTCGGAAGAATGTGCTGTTTGTGACGATGGCCATGCAGACAGGCTTCAGCTTCCTGCAGATCTTCTCAAAGAACTTCGAGATGTTTGCCGTGCTATTTGTCCTTGTAGGCATGGGCCAGATCTCCAACTATGTGGCAGCATTTGTCCTGGGTATGGCCATCAGGTTGGAGTTGAGTACTTGATCCTGTGTCTCACCATCATCCCACCACCCACTTTCTAGAGACAGCTGTGATGTGAAGCAGTCTTTAGCAACACTGACCAGGGCTTCTTGGTAAACCCAGCTTTAAAGGCAGGGAAACTGAGTCAGTCGAGTGTCCAGCCTTGGGTTTCCAGGAGCGCAACAGCCTGAATTCCAGTCCTTTCCTGGACGCTCAGATGTGGCACCTGGGTCTCATTAGCACTTGATGGCCATTCTGCTAGAACTCACCCAAGGTCATGCATAAAAATGAAGGGCCTGCCCAGGGTGGATGGAGCTAAGGCAAGAGGGAGGCATGGCATGAGGAGCAAAGGCCATGAATGGTAGGTTTGCCAAGCAGGAGAACTGCTCTTGTAAAACACCGTGGCCAGTGAGGCTGACCAGCAGGAATTAATTGGTGGGGATGGACTTTAGTCATGTGACCTTCGGGGTTTAGCTTACGGTTGATGCTGCAGGGCTTTGGCCTCTTCTCTCTAAGTCACTAGTCCCTCTGTGTGCAGGACTCTGACTCTAGCCTGCTGGTCTTGGGTTTCCTTGGGTCAGATTGTTGAAATGATCATTTTTTTCTTTTCACATTTAGTAGAATGTTTTCTCCTTGAAAATACTTCCTTAAGTCAGCATGGACAGCCTTAGTAATGACTTCCCCTTTAACGAATTTTTCCTCGTGTAAGGATTAAGTTTTGAGGCCTAACATCGCATTTTGAGCATATGGCTTTTGGAAGTGATGAAATTTTCATGAGAATTATCATTGAGGGGCCTGAGAAGCCACAGTGAGGCACCCCCAGCAGATGGTCAGACTGGGCTGGGTTAAGAATTCCATCCCTCCCCAGGGCTTGGAAACTGAGAGACAGTTTTGGGTGTTTTCCTGTCTGTATGTTGAAATTGTACAGTAAGAGATTAGTAAGGAAATAGCCTAAATTAAAATGCTAACATGGCTCCTCCCTTGTTTTGAATAGGAACAGAAATTCTTGGCAAGTCAGTTCGTATTATCTTCTCCACGCTAGGCGTGTGCATATTTTATGCATTTGGCTACATGCTGCTGCCATTGTTTGCCTACTTCATCCGAGACTGGCGAATGCTGCTCTTGGCGCTGACGATGCCCGGGGTGCTGTGCGCAGGGCTGTGGTGGTGAGTGGGGCCCCTCGGGTGCACGCCCACAGAATCTCTTCTCTCTAGCCTTCACTAGGGAGCAGCAGTGGCCCACAGATCCCTCTTTGGTCTCCCAGAGACAGGAAGTGTACTTGTAAGTTGTTTCAGAATGTTTTTCCACACTCCGACAAGCCAAAAATGAACATCTCCAGACATCAAAGACTTGTCCTTGTAGGCATGGGCTGTGCTGGTTTGATCACTGTGCAGGGAGAGGAAGAAGCCGTGACTGCAGGATGATAGGGTCCAGCATGATGTCCAGGAAGTTATCAGACTGTAGGACAGGACCGCTGAGATGCTGGTTCTGCCTGTGTGTGTTCCAAGGCCGCATGCCGCGGGCGGGGAGAAGAGGGAGAGCACTGGAAGAGGGACGCCTCAGGGCAGCTGCGCCGAAGCCAGGTTCCATCTGAGCCTCCACGACAGGAGTTGGACAGGCAGAAAGGAGCCAGTCCACACCAACAGAGGGAGCGCGGCAGAGGGGCTGAGGCAGTAATCGCCCCTTTGCAGGGGTGATGGTGAGATCACTGCCCTACATGGAGCTAGAGCATTTCAGAGCGTAGTGGGAACGGTTGCCGACCCCGGCATGGGTTTACATGGTGACAGAGAATAAAGGTCCACAGGGTCCACAGGGCAAAGCTCCCAGGTGTCTTGATCAATGTAGGTAGAGTGTCTGACAAATCAATTGGCTGAATCAAGGGTGAGGGTGAGGAAAAATTAGAGGTGAAGAGGCCAGTACAGAAGCCTCTGGATACTGGAACAAGCAGGGAAGTCCAGCAGGTGGGAGTCTGCGCTGGGCCAAGCCCACCACCACAGCCAGGCTCACAAGCCGTCCTGAGCCTTCTCCTGAGTGACCAGCAGGGGGCACAATTGCTCTTCAGAAATGGAGGTGGTCCAGCAGTGGAGGAATCCCACCGTGGTGTTCAGGCCCCTGTGAATTTGGTGCACTCCAGTGTACTCTAAAACTCATACTTCAGAGTCATTCCTGGGTGTGGTATGGACCATTTTCTCTTCTGGCTTGAAAACACCAAATATTCTCAAAATCTAGCTTTGGTTCTGAAACCCCGTTTCCCACCTCCACTTGGCTATGCCTGGTCTGTGGGGCAGCTGCTGGGCAGGAAGGCCTCCGTGAAATCACTCCTCGTACTTGCAGGTTCATCCCTGAGTCCCCCCGGTGGCTCATTTCTCAGGGACGATTTAAAGAGGCAGAGGTGATCATCCGCAAGGCTGCCAGAATCAATGCCATCGTCTTGCCCTCTACCATCTTTGACCCAAGTGAGGTAAGCAGACCGTGGGAGCTGTTGGGAGGGCTTCAGTGACCATGACTTCCAGGCAGCCCACCACACAGCCTGAAGCCCTTCCTTCACACAGGAGTCCAGCCTTCACCCTGCCCGAGCCTCAGCTGCCCCCTAAATCTTTCCCTCTTTCCCGAGGATTTTAGATTTTCATACTTTATGTTACCATTTTCTAGCAATCGTATAATTTAACTATTATTTTTAATAATAAATACAAAGTAATAGGCCTTCCGCAAAATTGGCACTTGGAGAAATCATTGTTTCTAGGGAGTAAGCTCCCTATGTAGTTTCTTATCTTAAACAAATAATGAGGTCCATAAAATACGAAGCAAAAAGATTTGGAGTTAGAAATGCTCAGTCTCCTAACCACCAGCTGTTAGCTGTTGCATGTCATCTGGGAGTCCGGCCCTTTGAGATCCATCCCTACCCTGCCGAGCCCTGCCTGCAAACCGTGTTCTCACGCACCATCAGTAACTTCCTGGCTCTGCCTGATTCCTGGGTCTTGCGCTTGCTGTCCCTGTCCTTCCACCCTCTCCACTGCAGGCAGTTTCCCCCAGTCCTATGACGGTGAGAAGAGGTTAGAGTTGTCATTGCTGGCTGATCACATTCTGGAATGTGTCTCTGATCTGACGGGAAGACAAGGGCATGGCTGTAAACACAGCCACCCGCTGTCATGCTGAAGTGCACGCAAAAGTCATATTAGAGACACTTCACTCAAGATGCAGGCTCGAGGTTTGGGAGAGAGACCAGTTATTACAGGCAGAAACAGCTCTCACTCTGCACCTGCTGGAAGGGGACTGAAGCACAAAGGGCAGGGCAGGAATAGATGGCAGGGAAGGCTTTCCAGGGAGGGGTTGTTCTGGGTGAGTACACAGACCCACTGGCATCTCTCAGGAAATGAGGCTATTTCAAGGGATCCATTAAGTCAGAAGTTGACCTTTTGTTGAACTGCTAACTTGGGAAAAACAAACTCCAAAGCTGGGTTCGCTTAAGAAACCAACATCAGTGTGTTTGGACATGTGGTTTATTAATGTCCCTGGTTGTGCCAGATTTCACAGGAAGTTCCTCTGGGTGAAGCTGAGGTCAATTTTCCTGTTTTTCTATCTGAAATTTTTTTTCCTTGGAAGTAGACCAGTAACTCCATGGTGTAAGGTCTCAAAACATTAATTCTTTAAAGTGTCAGCTCCACAAACCACATAGCCAGGTTCTCTCTCTGACCCAGAGGGCAGGAAGCCAGCCTTGGAAGGAATGCTCAGAGGCCTCCCAGGAATGTGGCCACTGATGGCGGCTGGGCTGCTGCCGAGAGGGAGCCGGGAGCTTGGGCCTCTGCCTTGGATTTCTTGGCTGAGTCCCCTGAGGGACTGGTCACCTAGTTTTCTTTTTCTTGCTCACTAATTTGTTACCAACAAGGCCTGGGGAAGCCTACTGTAGCCCAAGATACAGGCACTCTACTTACTCTTTTCAAGAAAGAAACATGAAACACTCCCCAACCCGGAGAAGTGGAGAACTAAGGTGCTGGGCTCAGGCGTGTTAGATCTCTGAGTCTCCAACTTGCCCTCCCTGCCATGCCCTGTCATGTCCTTTCTGCAGCTACAAGACCTCAGCGCCCAGAAGCAGCAGTCCCACAGCATTCTGGATCTCCTCCAGACCCGGAACATCCGAATGGTCACCATCATGTCCATAATCCTGTGGTGCGTGAGACCCACCTGAGGCTTCTAGACAAAGCTGGCAGTGGCTGCCAGGTCTCTGGTTTGCAGACTGTGTCTGAGACCAAAATTGAATGCCTGCATCATCAGAAAGCAGAAGGGTGGGCCTGGTAGTGAATGAAATGGGCATGTCCCATTTATAATGTAATGGAAGCTCAGCAGAGGAGAATGAACCTGTTGTGCAGTCCTTCTGGAGAGATATGGGATCTTTGGGGTCCCTCCAGGTTCTAGGGCAAACCCTTTGGGTTCTTGTTTGGTTGGTCCTGTGTCCTGTGCCTTGGTGACCCAGGACAAGTAAGGCCTCTAAGGAGGATGTCAGTGAGGCTGCTATGGAGCCTTTCCATTATAGAGGCTCTGAAGTGGTTTCTGGACCTGTGGAAGCAGGACTGTAGCCCTCTGGGATATTTGGAGACTGTCCTGAATGCAGGGCCATGGCCTCGGTGTCTCCATCAGGTTCCTTCTAACAAGGCATTTCATCACATGTCTCAGGAAGGGGTTTGTGGGGGGCCAGACCCTCAGGCCATTACCTGAGCCTGCTTGGTGAGGAAGGCAGACTTGATCTCAGAATCCTTATTATTTGGGGCAGCCAACCATTTTGCTCACCAGGGAATACTATGAGCCACCCATTTCCAAGGAATGGCCCAGGATCCCTGAGGGATCAGGGATAAGCCTCAGACAGGACCAGCGTTCAGGCTGCACACACACTTGCTGGCCTGTGCCAAGCCACCCCCTGTGGCCCCCAGCGGGCTGCCACTCTGGGTCTCCCAGGTATTCCTGCACATGCCCTTTTCCCAGATGGTACAGCTATGGCTTCGACCTGCAGATGAGGCAGAAACAGTCTAATTCATAAAGATGGTGTCTGCCAGAGAGTGTTACTCATCAGCAGTAAGATGGCCATCTGGGGACAGGGTCCAGGCCAGGCAGGCGTGCCGACAGGACCCTGCCCTGAGAGCCTCCTCTCCACTCCGTGAGTCCAGTGGGGCAGGAGCAGCTGCCCCTGACCGGCCTCTTCCTGGCTGGTGGCCACAGGGTTTGCCAGGTCTCTGTCCAAACGTTTGACCTAGTGATGCTCCTGATTTTCTTCTCCCCCCAGGGCTGTCGTGCCCCACTGGGTAGCTGCCTATTACTCACTCCCTGTGAAATGAGCTGTGCGGTCCTGGGGGCAGCTCCAGGGGCAGAAGGAGGCTCTGTGAGGGCCTAGCCAGGGCTGTTAGAGCCAGAGGCAGGCGGGGCTGTTTTCTGTTTTAGTTCTCAGCGCATTCTGTCTGAATCATAGAAGCCTGTTTGCTAGGACCTTGTCTCTGGAATGCTCTGAAAGTGCTCTGGCCTGGAGTTTACACTGGACTGGGGCAAGTTTTCTTTTGTCCTAAGAAGTGAGACTCTGGGTTAAATCTGCTGCCCTCCTGGTAAGGATAGTTTTGACTGTCTTGCAATGATTGTATTTTAAAAGTTGACAGGTTGGGAGGCTGTGGTCCTGCTTCTCAAGTTTTCTTCTGCCTCTGTTTCAGGATGACCATATCAGTGGGCTACTTTGGGCTTTCCCTTGACACCCCTAACTTGCACGGGGATGTGTATGTGAACTGCTTCCTTTCGGCCGTCGTGGAAGTGCCAGCATACGTGCTGGCTTGGCTGCTGCTGCAGCACCTGCCCCGGCGCTACTCCATGGCCACCGCCCTCTTCCTGGGCGGCAGCGTTCTGCTCTTCCTGCAGCTGGTACCCCAAGGTAGGGCCCACGGGCAGCTGCTCTCCCCGGTCTTCACTGAGTCACTCAGTCTCACCAGGCTGTCTCCCCAGTTAATAAAGAGAATAAAATCATGCCATCCAACCCACCTACAGATCGACATTCTCCACCAGAATAGCAAGAGCAGGGGTCTCATGGGTCCCTTATCATGCCCTGGGCTTTGGAGGAGTGGGGGGAGCACCTGCGTGGGGCTGGCCCTTGGCTAATTGTGCTCTCTACCCAAGTTAGTGGGTGCATAATTGTTTTTCTCTGTAGTGTAAGAGGGAGGAAGAAACATCCCCATATTTTTGGCCTTATCTTAGTCATTTATTTATTCAGCAGGTAGCTACAGAGTGCCTGCTGCTGCTCGCACTATGCCTGGGGCAAAGGATGCAGAAGAAAACAAGTCAGGCAGAGCCCCAGGCCCTGCAGGAGTTCACACCCTGGTTGAGCAGATAGACAGCAAAGTAGATAAAATGCTTGATGTACCAACTGCATTACCCTTCACAGTAACAGTAAAGGACAAGAGAGAACTAGTTTACATAGAGGTCATAGACTGTCCCTGTGGAGGGAACAACTGAGCAGAAATGTAGATGAAACATGGAGAAACCCATGGAAGTCTAGGAGCACAGCCTTTCAGGCCAAAGGAACATCAAAGACAAAGGCCCTCAGGAGGGAGGGAGCCTCGCCTGTGTGAGGAACAGAGCTGGTAAGAGGTGAAGAGGGAGAAGGGAGGGGCCAGGTGGCAGAGGGGTCCCAGGCCATGAGCAGGATTATTTTTAAAGCCATCTTGGTATCCGGCAGATGGTAGGAGGCAGGCCTCCTTCATGATTCATCGAGCAGTTGATGGGCTCTCTTAAATCCTCCATGGTACCCAGAGTTGTCAGTTTGTCCATGGATTTGGGGGCCCCTGAGGCTGGCAACAGTCTGCACAGGAACAGCATGGCAGGGAGCCCAGGAATGCGTGTAGAGGGTCTCAGCAGAGCTTGGGGTGACTCAGTGAGCAGGACGGATGGGAGGATTGTTCCTACGGGTCCGCAAGTCTGAACTGTGGGGGTCTGAGTACAGTGAAAGCATGCAGGGAGTTAGAATCGAACTCCCCACTCATCACATGCCAATGAGTTGACTCCACAGTGCTGCAGCATGCCTGCCCATCCCCGACAGATGTCTTTATTGGCTTTGGGACTGGAAAGCAGGTTTATTTGGGCTGTTGAGGGGCTCGCTCTTGTGGTCTTTAGGCTGAGGAGAGGTGCATGTCCTTGCAGATAGAGGTCCTGGCCTCCTCTCAGTAACCAGCTTGGAGGGACATCTTGGCTACAGTCCTCTGACTTCCCTTATCCCACAGTGGGAAGTCAGAGAACCTGCCCCTACTACCCCTCTCCCCAGAGAAAAGGGAGAAAGTATGTTTCAGGCAGAAAGGAAATGGAGCTCTCTCTCAGTAAGTGCCTTAGGTTGGCACCTTCTTGTTTCTTCCCTTTGCCTCTCCAGATTTGTATTATTTGGCCACAGCCCTGGTGATGGTGGGCAAATTTGGAGTCACTGCTGCCTTCTCCATGGTCTATGTGTACACGGCTGAGCTGTATCCCACGGTGGTTAGAAACATGGGCGTGGGGGTCAGCTCCACAGCATCCCGCCTGGGTAGCATTCTATCTCCCTACTTCGTTTACCTTGGTAAGTCCTGTGCAAGCTCTGAGTTGCTTTAAAGTGAGTTGGGGGTGGCCTGTCAACAGGAAGACAGTCACACACACAGCTTACAGGGATCCATCCAGTCCTGGGTCTGCCTCCAGGCACACTGTGGGGAAGCGCTCTCACTTGTGAACAGAAAGCCCCCTGTAGAAATTGACGGGAAATATATAGGGTTTTGTTTCTGGTTTAGCCATCCCAGGCCTTCTATCAGAGAGTACAACTCCCTTATCCTAAGATGCTGCGGAGTGGTTTAGAAAGCCAGTGTATTTATTGGAGAAATTTCTTCCTCGAACCAGAGTTTAAAGGGAACATCGAGAGAAAGAGATGGATTCAGAGGGCTGATAAGCTAAGAGTTGCTGTAACTGGAGGACTTTACCTAGGGGTGGTGTACTGTGTAAAGTTCTGCCTCAGGCTATTTTATGTAACAAGGCACCAGTTTTCTCCTCCTCAAAATTATGTCTTCATGGCAACTGCTGTTGCCCTACCCATCTCTAGCCAGCACACCTTCGGGGCAGGGTGGCTCCCCACCTTGAGAGCACCCAGAGTGCTCTGGGACTGTGTACCTCTGACAAGCAGAAAACCCCTCCTCTCTGACCTGAAGGCACATCGAGTGGCTGGGACACATCCTGGGAGGAGGAGTTACTCCTGTCCCTGGATGTGTACCTTGAGTCCCTTAGAAACCCAGCGTTGGGAATAGGAATAGTGATCATGGCTTGACCCCTTCCTCCTAGTCTGCACGGCCCCTGCATTGCCACGCTTCCAGGCTGGGAGGCCTGTGGGGGGCCAGATTCCAATCTGGCAGCTCCCACTGGGAGATGCAGAGGCCAGGAAGGTAGGTGATCCCCTTTAGAGTCCTGGGAACACAAAGAGGAAGGGAGACCAAGTCTAACTGCACCCCTGGCTTGGGGTCTCTCTGCCTCACCATAGGTGCCTATGACCGATTCCTGCCCTACATTCTTATGGGAAGTCTGACCATCCTGACAGCCATCCTCACCTTGTTCCTCCCAGAGAGCTTTGGCACCCCACTCCCAGAAACCATTGACCAGATGCTAAAGGTTAAAGGGTAAGGAGGCCTCCTTCACAATGTGGATGCACTGGGTCTGGGCCTGGCACAATCCCCTCAGACTCACACAACTGCCCTGGACTGTTAGCCATCAGAGGTTAGAAGTGGCAGGGTGCTTCCAGCCTGTGTGTGCTCTCTAGTCTGACCCAGGCCACGGTGTCACTGGGTACATCTGCACAGCCACAGCAGCTCTGGGACCATGCAGAAGGTGGGAGGAACCTTTTGTTTTTTCCTTAGTGAAAGATCCTCAGTTCTGGATTTTGTTTGTTTTGAGCCTGCTAGACATCTTTTAAGATTAGTTCTAACATTTGTTTTGCTTATTTTTATAGAATAAAATACAGGCAAACTCCAAGCCACCCAAGGATATTAAAAGATGGTGAAGAGAGCCCCATAGCCCTGAAAAGCACAGCCCTCTAATACAACCTCCAGTGAGGGAGGAGGTGGAAAGGAAGTTCTGTGTCTTATCAGAGCAGCTTGTTCAGACAGAGAGTCCTTCAGTGGCAAAGGGCTTTGCTGTGCATTCTCTTGGCCCAGTGTCTGGCTTGTTAATGGATCGACACCAGACTCTAAGGCTGCATGTGGTCCTGGCACGCCACCTGCCCTCCAGGAACTCTGTGGCTACTGGTGGACACCTTTAGATAACTCCTAACTAGTAGGAGGATGGACTTGGCACTTCCTGAGAAGTTAACTGTTCACTAGAACCACTGGGATTTGGAAGAATATGAGAAGCATCTGCTGAACTTATATTTTAATTTCAGACCCTTAAAAGGCCCCTGAGCAAATTGAAGGTCTGCTCCCCACCCCACCTCAAATTTTGTCCCAGTTCCTTCTAATGGTGTACTTTACAGGAAAAGAAATAATTTCCCTGGGAGCTTGACTTCCCACACTTTCTCAGTTACAGAGGTCTATAACTGGGATTACTGCCTTTCTGGGGCAGGAGAGCACAGGTCTGGGGAAACCTAAAGGTAATGAATGTCAAGGGGACTGAGCAGATACAGGAAACGGGCAACGGCATTGATCTGTGACTCCTGGACCCCTCAGTACGGCTACTGGGTAGCTACTGGGTTTACATCCGATCAAAGCACTGGGCTTGTCCAGGCCCATTAGAGATGCATCATTGAATCTACTAGGCTGGTTTTCCACTGCTGTGTAAATCCAGCCTCCTCGCTACTGTGGCATCTGATACACAGTTGGAAGGAAGTGTATCAGTGAGAGAGACAGGCACACTTGTCTCTTCTCTCAAAACTATAATGTGGATTTTACTGTGTGTGTTTGTTTGTTATATCTTTTTTTCCTTAAGTTATTTGCCCTTCAGAATAGACTTAGAAAAGGCTGATCCCTTAGCTTCCTGGTTTCTCTCTCTTTTTTTTTTTCCCCAATCAAGAATTACTGGCAATGCTCTGTGGTTACCACTCATGCAAGGCCTCACCAGCCTTAGCCACTAGCACATCCTTGAGCGCCAGAAATTATGTCATTGTGTGTGTTCATTTTGTGACATCTAATCATGGAGGAAAATGGTGAAGGAAGTCAAATCATGTTCACAGTCTTTCAGAGTTGCTCACTCCGGTTGTGTAACGTTGGGAAGTATTCTGTGTTCAGGGTAACTGTCTTCTCTCTTCTGATTATGGTACCATGGTACTGCGAAAGCATATGCTTCACCCAGTCAACAAACCATATTTGTGTGAAAGCTACTGAAGTGCCTTGGAAAGTGAAGATGTTTTAATAAATAAAACGATTTTTTAAATAATAGCAACTGCCTGCCCGCAACCCTTATTTCCACACCACACCATCACCTGACTTTTCTCTCTGTCAGCTTGGGCCGATTCTAGCAGTGATTTGCAATCAGTCGGTAATGCTAAGATTTAATCCCTGTGTGCTAGAAATCGTCACTCTATTAATTGACAATGGACTGAGCCAGCCCTTTGCCTCTCGGTCTGGGTTCCCCTGAGAACAGAGCCTGCAAGCAGTGCTTCATGCAGTTAGGAAGTTTATTTGGGAGCAAGGGTCCAGGGAGCAGGAGTAGCATAATGGGAGGAAACAAGACAAGAATGCATCAGAATGGCCAGGGCCGAGGACCCCACTCTCTCCAGGTGGAACTGCTGAGGAGCCTCATGAAACGTATGTCAAAACCATCTGCCCCATGGATAAAAAAGGAAGCATTCACATATTGGCCCTCATCCCCAACTCGTCAAAGGCAGCCCCATAGGTGTCGGCTCTCATTCCCAGGTTGTACATGCATGAGTCCCAAAGAGGTTCTGCCCCTGGATAGAAAGCAAGAAGTAATATATTGCAGGCCCACAGTGAGGCATTGCCAGGCTGCCCTTCAGCGACGCTGGTCAAAGCCTGTGTGAACTGGTCACTGCAAGCAACAGTGTTTGGAGTAAGTGGTGGAGCTGAGAGGATTGGGGGTTGTACATGGTACACAGTACACACACATACAAAATGTGTCACAGGGCAATTTGAGCTAGAATATGTATGTATTTGAGCTAGAATATGTATTTACCTGGGTAAAAAAAGCTCCAGTGTTGGAAAGATGACATATGGTCAAACTTGCGGGGGTAGGAAGGGGAGAGGAAGGAAGCTTGTTTCTGTGACACTGTTGGCTCATCTACCCCTCAAACCTGATTCTCTGCACAGTTCCTAATTAAATGACATCAGAGTGGCTCCAGAATATAAATTAAGGTCCTGCCTGCCCTTTATCCTGTTGCATAAATGAGTCCTGTGATGGGGCTGAGCCAAGTCTCCAAGTCCTCTGCCTAGGCCTGTTGGACTCTTGTGCTGCTGGTTTCCATCAGAGTCACGACTTTGGGAAGACTAAGCTGTCCTGACCAAGGATCTCCTTTCAGGGAGCAAAGTGTGCATGACCTGTAGTCACAGGGACAGTGGGTGAGTGATGAGGTGCTCGGTAAATACCCGTAGAATGTATGAGGGACATATCCAAGGTGGTGAAGGAACAATCCAGATTTAAAAATAATAAAATGCTTTCTACCACAGAAATAGGGAAAACAAAGAGTTTACTCTATAATCTTTTCCTATTCTTGGCACCTAGCTCCTGTCTCCATCAGAGTTTCCTGAACACTCTCATGAATTCCAGAAGGACTGGTGTTTGCCAAAGAGAATTATCCTGCTCACCACCTAGTCTAAATAATGATGAATGAGCTGGGCAGAAGGCCCTGTTCTCTGTCAGATAGTAAGTAGCACAACAAATCTTTCCCCTCGGTCTGTGTCATTTAATTGCTCTTCCTAAAGAGCTGATGGAAAGAGGCTTGATGTAGTATATCAGTGATATCTAATGCTGTGAGCCACTGCTATAAAAGCAGTTCGGAAAAATAAAAGCACACCTCATTTTATTGTGCCTCACATACGGCACTTCACAGATAACTGCCCTTTTAACCAACGGAAGGTTCATGACTTCAGTGGAGGAAGCCACTGCAGATGTGGTGCAAGTAGCAATAGAACCAGAATTAGAAGGGCAGCCTGAACATGGGACTGGATGGCTGCATCGCATGATAAAACTTTAATAGAGAAGGAGTTACTTCTGATGGACGAACAAAGAAAGTGGTTTCTTGAGATGGAATCTACTAGTGAAGATGCTCTCAAGATTGCATTGGGATTAGAATTACATACACTTAGTTGATAAAGCGGCAGCAGGGTTTGAGAGGATTAACTCCGAGTTTGAATATTCCGTAGGTAAAATGCTACCCAATGCCATCATATGCTACAGAGAAATCATTCATGAAAGGAAGAGTCCATCAATGTGGCAGATTTCATTGCTGACTTGTTCTAAGAAATTGCCACAGCCACCCAGCCTTTAGCAACCACCACCCTGATCAGTCAACAGCCATAATGTCAAGGCAAAAAGATGCTCACTGTAAGCTCAGATGATAGCATCTTTGAGTAATAAAATATTTTTAAATTAAGGCATGTTCTTTGGTTTTTTTAGACACGATGCTATAACACACTTAAAAAACTACAATATAGTGTAAACACAACTTACATGCACAGGGAAACCAAAAAGTTGATTTGATTACTTTATTGCAATATTCACTTTATGCAATACTCACTTTATTTGGGTGGTCTAGAACCAAACCCACCATTACCTCCAAAGTATGCCTGTTTAGTTCTCATAAAAACCCATATTGTTAGAGGATGCCCAGGATGACAGAATCAGAGGTTTCTCAGCAGAAATCACAAGTCTTCCTGGAGTCTCAGGCAGACCTACCCCAGAAGGTCTCACCTTGGGAGGAAGGGGCCTAATCTCAAGGACAGTTGTGCAAGAAACTGCCAGTGATACCAAACATCATCTGTCTATTTGCCAGTCAGAGAGCAACAGCCAGGCTTTCATTTTACCCTGGAAGAAGTCTCACATGAGAAACTCTTCTCATGGAGGTGTGGAAATATACTGTACACATCAAGGATGGACTGCTAAATGCATGCAGTGGTATCAGTATTTCACAAGGCTAGTCTACTGAAGAGATTTGAAACATTTAATTATCACGTAATCTTTCATTGTGAACAACATAGTTCCAAAAATGCCCTATGTCTTTATAGAATTGCCCTTCCCCTATACCAGACAAGTGAGCACAAAAAAGTAAAGACGTATAAAGTTTTTTCACCAAAATTAACCAAATGAGAAAAAAGCATGACAACTCAATACACTCTTAAAAGTGGTAAAGGAAAGAAGATTCTAACATTACTCGTAAACTTTCTAGCCATACTAAGAAGCCATCAACATCTGAAACAGTCTCTCTAATATCTCCAAATCTGGCCAACAGCAGATTGGATGAAGTCCTTTATTTACCTCTTCAAAGATTTAAAACAAATTGGTGAAATGGAGAAAATAGGTAATGGGCCTGATTATTCTGAAAAAAATTAGACCTGCCCTATAAGAAATGATAAAGTGAGTCCTTCAGGCTGAAATGAAAGGCTAATAGACAGCAACTCAAAATCACAGGAAGGAATAAAGAACACGGATAAAGAGAACTACCTAAGTAAATATAAAAGACAGTGTTAATGAAAGTGAGGAAATTACCAACCTTATAAAAATAAAATGAATTATAAGAGATTAAGTAATTGTATGCCTATAAACTAGGTGACCTAGATGAACTGGACAGTTCCTACATACAAATTACCAAAACCAACTCAAAAAGAAACAGAAAATCTAAACAGACTTAAGAGACTGAATTAATAATTTAAAAAAACCTTCCAACAAAGAAAAATCCAGAACCATATGGCTTCACTGATGAGTTCTTCCAAACAGTTAAAGAAGAATTAATAATAGACCTTCTCAAATTCTTCCCCCAAATAGAATTCTGAGGCCAGCATTACCGAGACCAAATTCAGACAGAAACCAAAAGAAAAGGAGACTAGATCAGTATCCCTTATGAACATAGATGTAAAATAGTCAACAAAACGCCAGCAAACCAAATCTAGCAGCATAGTAAGAGGATTATATATCATGACCAAGTGGGATTTATTCCAGGAATATAAGGGTAGTTAAATGTACAAATATTAATGTAATGCAACACATTAATAGAATGAAGGTTTTAAAATATATCAGTTGATACAAAGAACCATTTGACAATATTCAACACCCTTTCATGATAAAAAAACAGAACAAAACACCCCAACAACTAGAAATAAAAGAAAACTTCCTCAACATGATAAATGGCATCTATGAAAACCACACAGCTAACATTATACTCAGTGGTGGAACTGAAAATTTGCCCCTTAAGATCAGTAACAAGACAAGGATGTTCATCTTGCCACTTCTGTTCAACACTGTGATTCTGGCCATAGCAATTATACAAGAAAAAGAAAAAGTACCCAATTGGGAAGGAAGAGTAAAGCTACAGTAATCAAAACTGTGTTATGGCAGAAAGATAGACATATAAACCAATGACACAGAATACAGAGCCCAGAAATAAACCTTTACATATATGGTCAAATTATTTTCAAAACACGTGCCAAGACTATTCAAGAGGAAAAGGACAGTCTTTTCAACAATGGTGCTTGGAAAATTGGATGTCCACATGAAAAGAATGAAGTTGGACCCTTACCTTATACAACATGTAAAAATTAACTCAAAATGAATCAAAACCTAAATATAAGAGCTAAAACTCTAAGACCATTTAGAAGAAAATGGAAATTTTCATGACATTGGATTTAGCATTAATTTCTTGGATATGACACCAAAAACAAAGGTAACAAAAAAAAATACATTAACTATTTCATCAAAGCTCTATTAAAATCTTTTGTTATATGTCAATTATATCTCAGTAAAGCCGGGAACAAAAATAAAAACCTTTGTGCATCGCTATCAAGAAAGTGAAAAGGAACCCCCACGAAATGGGAGAAAATATTTGCAAATAATAGATCTAGTAAAAAACTGTTACAACCCAACAAAAAGAAAAAAATTTAATGGGCAAAAGACTTGAACAGATATTTCTCCAAAGAAGATAAACAAATGGCCAGTAAGCACATGAAAAGCTGTGCTAATCATCTGGGAAATACAAATCAAAACCACAAGATACCACTTCATACTCATTAGGATAGTTGTTATAAAAAAAGAAAAAAAAAACAGAGAAAATAGCAAGCATTGGCAAGAATGGGGAGAAATTGGAACCCTAGTGCACTGCTAGCAGAAATGTAAAATGGTGCAGCTGCAGTGGAAAACAGTATGGTGTTTCCTCAAATAATCATAAAATTACCATATTGTTTAGCAATTTCACTTCTATAGGTATATACAC